TCGGTAAACCAAGGGGATGGTCGAGATCCACGTCGGGTCAGAGGCCGCAAAGGCACGACTCGGTCCAATGCTGCGGCGGCAGTTGTCTCCCATGCCGCCGCCTGATTTTCCGCCGAGTCGTGGACCAGATCCTCCGGATATGGCCCAAGCTCCATCAGGAACCTCTCAGGGTCCATCAGTCGCCTGGGACGGAACCATCCTCTGTACCTTTTGTCAATTTGGTAAAACCAGGGATTAATGACTTGCTTAGTGACTTGCATAATGAGGGTCCGATCGGTTTTCTTTGGCGCCGTCTTGACTCTTTTGCCTTGCCTTCTTCTTCAGTTCCAAGCCAAAACTGTTATTCGAAGAACGGGGCCAGGTATCTGGGCCTGGCTAAGACGACCGTGTCTGGAGATGATTGTCTCCCGTGGACTTCCAACCTCTTCTACTATGAGGACCTTCAAACAAACACGGTGCTGCTGGGACTGGGATCCCATTCCTACTGCCGGTAAAATGCCAGAGGAGTAACTCCTTTGTAAGAACAGCTCGGAGTAGGTGTCCATGGAGATTCTCAATCATTCCAGGTCATGACTGTCCCAAAGGTGCTTTTTTTCAAAGAAGCTTCTTGGTTGAGAAGCAAAACATGGTTTCGCATCTCATGCTAGCCAAGCCTAGTCAAGCATTCTCAGCCAAGTGGTTGAGGGAATTCTGGGGGTTGAAGTCCACCGGCCTTAGGACACCCCTGCTGTATACAGCGTAATCGATTTACAGCCAAACTCCCTAAATTGCTGGAAAGGATGTGGGCCCAGCCGAGAAGGATCATGCCAAGTGAAGCAAAGAGTGAGACAGGAGAGAAGCCAAAGAGAAGAGAGAATCCATTCAGGTGACCTAAGACCCCAGGCACCACTTAGGATGGCCCCTGGAGGGTGGGAATAGGTCCTACAAAGCCACCCCGGCTGAAAAGGGGTCCCTCACAGATCGATGGGCATCTCCTAAACGCCAAGGAGCCACCATGGAGTCCTTTTCCCGCCCTTCCCTCTGACATTAACAAAATCTAAGTCAAATCCACATTTGAAGAGCGGAGGGTCTTGTGCTCCTAACAAAGCCAGAAGAAATTGAGACTGGAAGTCAACGGGTGACTCAAAGAGTTCATCCCTTCACTTTTTTCCCCATGTCTTAGAAATCCAGATGAGGACGAGAAGCCGTGGTGCTATTTCATTAAGGACGGCAGACTGTCTTGGGACTACTGCGACGTGTCGCTATGCCGTAAGTCAGAGGTCCCCAACCTTTTGGGCACCAGGGACCGGTTCCATGGAGAGAGGTTTTTCCGCGGCCCGATGGGTGCATGGTTTTGTGTGCCGCCTGCATCCCGCGGATGGGGCTTTGCTTGTTTTGTGCGGACCGGTTGCTGGCATGCCGTGGACTGGTACCGGTCCACGGACCGGGGGTTGGGGACCCTTGCCATAAGTAACTTGTGAAACTGCAGGATTCAGCTTGGGTTGCGCTGCTAAATTAGCTCAAGGATGGACAAAAGTGTTCTTAAATAAATGTAGAATTAAAAAAACCTCTGCGGTTATGAGCCAGTGTCATATCAATATCCATCTTCATGTCAACACCATCCCTCTGGTCAGTCTCTCCTCACTACAACTTGACTTACGACCCCCAATTGAGCCCAAAATTTATATTGTTAAGTGAGACATTTGTTAAGTGACCTTTGCCCCATTTTACGACCTTTATTGCGACCGTTGTTAAGGGAATCACTGCAGTTGATCAGTTAGTACCCCGGTTGTTAAGTGAATCTGGCTTCCCCCATTGACTTTGCTTGTCAGAAGGTTGCAAAAGGAGATCACGTGACCCCGGGGGACATTGCAACCGTCCTAAATACGAGTCAGTTGCCAAGCGTCTGAATTTTGATCACGTGACCAAAGGGGATGCTGCAATTGGTCCTAAGTGTGAAAAATGGTCTTAAGTCACTTTTTTTTCAGGGCCGTTGTAACTTTGAACGGTCAGTAAAGGAAC